TCGAGGTGTCATCAAGACACTGCTGCGACGGAGGACTAGAGCTGCTTGTCACCTGGACTGGAAGAGGTGGTGCATATTCTGACTCAGCCCCTGGTCACAGTGATGGCTTGAATGAAGACTAACAAACAGATTGCATGAAACTAAGACTGAACATAAGAGCGTAAGAAACGTCATGCTGGACCAGACCAAGGCCTGCCCAGTCCAGCCCTCTGTTCACATGCTATCAAACCAGCTGTGCACAGGATCCCTCCCGCAGGGTGGGTTCAGGAAGCCCAGCTGCCCAGCAGCTGGAGTGTGCAGGCCTGCCCCCTCTGGTAACGGAGGCAGCACTCAGCCATCGAGCCTAGGAGCCCCGACAGCCTCCTCCTCCTCCATGGATCTGCCCAGTCCCCCCAGTTAAAGCCATCCAGATTGGCGGCCATTCCCATTTCCTGTAGCTCTGAATTCCATTCTTTTAAGTATGTGTCGTGCACAGAAGCGCTTCCTTGTATCTGTCCTAAACACCCCACCAATCAGCTTCATGTTCTTATATTCTAGAATATTTAGAATATTCTCTGTTCTACTGAATGGAGCTTAACTCCTAGAACTGCAGCCATAACATGGTGAGCCCTCCATGTAAAGAATGCTGTGAACAGATTTCTTTCCCAGTATGAAAGTTTTCTGTTCACAGGCTTCCCTGGCTGTTGCCTGCATCTCCTCCCCGCTCCGTAATATCCAAGATCACATTTCAGTTCTCAAGACAATGTCTAATTGCTTTGCATTCTCCATTATTGCTCTGCTAAGCCAAGTGTAATTTTGATACATATTCCTAATGCCATCAGATCTTGGGAAGGTTCATGATTAGTTTTAAGCCTAATTGCGCAGACTGTTGGAGAATGCGGAGACCCAGCAGCTCCGTAATGTAGCTACTTCAAACGGCTTTCTTGATCTCAGAGGTGGACTGGGGAAAGGTGCTGTGGGAGGGCTGACATGCGCTGCAGGAGGAAGCTCATGATTCAGCATGTGGAGTGGGGAGTGCCAGATGCGTTGGCCACGGAGCCTGATGGAGATCGATGTGGCCATGAAATGCCATGTGTTCTGTTGAGCAGGCGCCTCGTGCTCGCATTCGTATTCTGTCTCTTGGCGGATTCCTGAGCTGGATCTGGGTTCAGTCAGGGTGTATGAGGGAAGGTATGGCTCGCTAGATACGGTTGGATACCAACTGACAGCTCCAACCAGTGGCTATACTGGCTAGGAGTGATGGATTGATTGATTGATTGATTGATTGATTGATGAGAATAGCTTGAAACAATGCTTTGTTTCCTCAGAGGCAGAGCTGAATTTGGCACTTTTTCATAGAGGAACTTTTTTGTATTAAAACTGCAGCCAAAGTCAGGCGCATTCAACGCGGGAGAGGATCAGGGACTTCAAGCTGAAGGAGGCTCGCCCTCAGAATATTGTGCTGAGGCCAATATTATTTGTTCCTCCTCCTCTTCTCCATTCTGAACACCTGAAATGCAGCCTGCAGTCAATTAAAATATCTTTACACCATATAAAAAGGGACAGCAGAGCAAGACAGGATAAAATTAACCCTCCAGGAACGGTACATCAGGGACTAGCAAAATAAATAATTCAGAAAATGTCGTCCAGGACCCAGAGAAGCCCAAAGGCTTTCTGAAAGGGTGCAGTCTTGACCTGGTGGGGAAAGGCTGCAGCCTGGGGCAGAGCGCACCCTTCGCATGCAGAATGTCCCCGGCTCAGCGCACGGCATCTCCTGGCAGGGCTGGGCGATGCTGAAGAAGCATTCTCTTCCGCGCAGGCAGCCAAACGCAGCCGTGGGTGGACTCCATATGAGGCAGCTTCTGGTATTTCTGTGGCACTCGATTTTGATAGTACCAAACATAAGGTTTTTCCGTGGGGATGCACTGAACTTTCTTGACCCTAGCTACGTCTTTAGCTGCACGTGCTCGATGGCAGAATGAGCTAGCTCTTCGGGTGGTCACACTCGTTAATTCCGTGGTAGATGTTCACTGCAGCAGACCTGCCTTGTGCCACCTTTCTGGAGGTAGGCATTCAGGTGGGAGCGGGACCCCGGGCCTGACCCCCCGGTCCCTGTCCCAGAGAGCTAGTCCACGATGAGCCCTGTCAAGCATGGTCAGGCACTGGAAGAAGATTGGGAAGGTCGCATTCGCACATTTCCTGGCACGGGTGGCCCTTGAGCTGAGCAGAGAAGCTGCAGTGTCAGATTCAGGCCAGACACAGGCTTAAAATGAGGCTGGATGTGGGGAAACGTATAGCTAGTGCTTACCTACCACAGCTGGAGATGGCTGCGTATCTGCCACAGCTGGGGCTGCTGAGCTTGCAATGGAATAGGTGCGGAAAGGGAGGCATGACGAGAGGTACTGGGTGATGAATTTCAGTGCGTGTGGCCTGATGCTGTGGGCAGAGTGCTTGGTGCTCTGCATCCCGTTGCCTGACCACTCGCCCCGTGCCCCTCGTGGCCCATGGCCCCTAAGGGGAGGGTTCGTACCTGGGTCCAGGAGGCTGTCAGCACCTCATTCGGAAAGGGAATGGCCCCAGCTTCGCTAAAGGAGGCTGTGATGAGACCACTCCTAAAAGAGCCAAACCTGGACCCAGAGGCTGTGACCAACTAGAGACCAGTGGCGAAGGTGCCCTCCTTGGGCAAGGTGTCGAGACAGGTGGTGGCTGAGCAGCTCCAGACACTTCTGGAGGAAACAGATCATCTGGATCCACGTCAGCCAGACTTCAGGACAGAGATGTCCTTGGTCACCCTGTGGGAGGACCTTTGCCGGAAGAGAGGCGGGGAACATCACCCTGTGGGTTCCCCAGGAGGTTCAGCACCATCACCCATGGTGTCCTTCTGGCCAGTTGGGGGTTGGAGGCACCTCTCTGCAGTGGTTCTGATCTTACCTGCTGGCTGGATCCAGAAGGTGGTGCTGGGGGTAGTTCTACGCCATGGCGGTCCCACAGGGCTCTCTCTTATTCCCCGTTTTCTTTAACATCTACATGAAGCTGCTGGGGGAAGTCATGCAGAGGCTTGGGCTGAGATCGCAGCAATGCCCTGATGTTACGCAGCTCTGCCTCCCTTTTACCTCAAATGTAGGTGAGGCTGCGTTTGGCCTGAACAGTGCCTGAGCTCAGTGATGGACTGGAGGAGGGCCAGTCAACTGCGGCTCAGTCCAGACAAGGCAGAAGTACTGTTGGTGGGCAGTTGGTTGGAGAGGTTGAGTGGCCTCCGCCCTGTCCTGGACTGGGTCGTGTTCCCCCAAAAGGACAGGTGCTTCGATTGAGTGAGGCTGTTCTGGGGTCCAAAACGGAGCCCCAAGTGGACGTGGTGGCCAGGAGCACTTTCCGTCAACTGCAGCTGATTTACCAACCACGGCTGTATCTCGACAAAGTCTGCCCCCAGTAACATCCTGGTTGGACTATTGCAACATGCTGTATGTCTATGGGGCTGCCTTTGGAGATGGTCCGGATGCTCAGCTGGCTTAACATAGGGCCACACGATTGTGGCCAAGAACTGGTTGCAGGACTGTACGAGACCAGTTTTGCATCATCCGCACTGGCTGGCAGTGGAGGTCCTGCCCACGTCACGTCACAGTGCCTGCGCTTCCATATGAAGCCCTGCATGGCTTGGGCCCCGAGTACCTGAAGGATTCCTCCTCCCGTATGTCCCTGCCTGTCCATTAGGATCAAACGAGGAGGCCCTTCCCCTAGAGGAGGGAGGGGGGTGATGGCTAGAAGAAGGGTTTTCTCTCTGTGTGCGCCCCACCTTTGGGAATAGGCTCCCCAAGGAGGTGTTCCTGGCGCCGTCACGGTTGCCATTCCCATGCCAAGCAGAGGCATATCTTTTCTCTGGCTATTTTCATAATTGATTTTAGTGGTAACTTGATTTTAACCGTGACTATTTTTGGTTTTGGTTTGATTTTTTATTCTAATGTTTTTATGTAATATTTTCATTTTGATGTGTCATGTTTTGATGATGTTGTTAGTATACTTTGAATATGTTGATTTAGTGTTACTGATTTTAGAATGTTGTGTTGTTTTAATTGTTGTAAGCCAAACAGAGAGGCCAGATGTGGGGAACTGTAGTGGCATTCGAATTAAAATAATAATAAATATTTACCAAATTATGCACGGTGTGGAGGAAGTGGGTCTGAGGGGACTTTTCCTGCCAGGTCTGCAGTCCAGGGTCATCCTTGTGGCTGACGGGGGGGCCATTCAGGAGGGGCCATTCAGGCAGTTCTTCTCCACAGTTAACTATGGAACTCACTTCACAAGATGTAGTGGTGGCCACCAGTTTGGGTGAATTGGGAAATTCCATGGAGAAAGACCATACGTGGCTGCTAAACCGGAAGGACGTGTCCCGCCTCCAGTATCAGAGACCGTGTGCACCAGTCGCCGGGGCACAAGGGCGGCAGGGGGTGCGCCCTTACACGCATATCCCACAGGAAGCAGTTTTGCACCTGGGTAAACAAAACGCAGCCGCGAGAACTTGGCGGACTTTGGTCTGATCCAGAGCAGCTCTTCTGAAACATGCTCTGCATGATCATACTGCTCGATCGCGCTTTAGTTCTGGAGACTGTGGCCTGTGGAGAAGTTTGTTGATTTGGTTTTAGAAGTTATAGAGTTGCGCAGAGTCAGTTGCCAGCAGGAAAGCGTCGTTGGTTTCGTATTGGAGCAGATCAGCTTTGGAGGCATCGCCTGGTTCCTTACGGAATGAGCGAGGCAGGAGTGCCTCCGTTTTCCACGACTGTTTCCTTCAGGATTGTTTCCTGCCCTCCTCTTTATCTGTATTCTGCCCATTCCCAGTAGTGGGACCTGTGCAACAGCTCACACATTTCAATATTACTATAGCTATTTGCTAGGTTAAGAGGCAATTACATCAGCAAGAGTATTAAATTATATACATACCAAAATCAAAAAAGCAGTGCAAACAGCTTAATTTAATGACCCGTTGCATACTTCTTTGTTGACTTGCTTCTTATTTGATTTCACAGGGATAGACTTCAAGATTAAAACAGTTGAATTGCAAGGAAAGAAGATAAAGCTACAGATATGGTGAGTGATGCTTTAGATTTTTTTGTTTGTCGACTGATACATACATTTATGAAAATTATGGGTGGAGTGAAAGTTCTCCCTCTTATTTTTATACAGTGGAAATACATCATGACAATTCAAGCAGGTTGCTGAAATCCAGTGAGGAAGGGGGGGCCTCCCTTCTCTTGTCTGCCATTAAAGAATCTGCAATCGCCCAGATTACCAGTTAGCGTAATGTCTGCATCAGGATGCCCTAGCTTGATCCAGGGTTAAACAACCCAGAGTTAACTCTGTAGGAAACAATAAGTTAATTCTAGCTGGTTTAACCCGAAACAACCCGGCTTGGTGCTTAGGTTCAGACAGTGGAGTGACCAGTAGTAAGGCCAGGCTATCAACCAGGGCAGGGACAAAGAAGCGGGTAATCATGGGTGGCAATTCCCGTTATCTCTGTTGTGGCGGTTTTATTTTTAACAGACTTTCTTACTGTTTTTCTCAGTGATTGTAAGCATCCATTTCTGGCGGGAAGGTGCCGCTCAAGCCGGGTCGGCCAAGTAATTCCCTCCACTTGCCCTGCTGGGACAGGTGGGGGCTGCCGTCCAAAGTTTCTGGAAGGGCCAGCCTGCCTTGGCTGACCCCGGGCCTTTATTGGGCTTTGTCCGTTGGGTTGTCCAGGAGGTGCTGTAAAGCACCGGGACTTTTAAGTGGCCACAGCGGGAAATGGCGGGTGGCCACGTGCCCGGAGAGGCCCGGAGAACCTCGTGCAGCGGCACGGAGGCCGCGCTGCCTGTGTGTGCTTGGCGCACGGGTTCGGCCTGCAGCGCCACAGCGCTCCCCCCATACATGCGTGGCCAGCGCCTGCCGTGGGTGGGCTCTGCTTCGGAAGCTGGGCTGCCCTCCTGCCAGTGCAGAGGGAAGGGCAGCGGGTCGCATCGCACAGCCGGCTCACCGTCCGAGGCGGGTGGGTGCCCCAGAGAGCCCTGCTGGCCACACTGCCGCTGCGGCTGTCCCAGTGCAGCTGCCCGACAGCGCAGCCCCCCTCTTTGGGATCCATCAAACGCCACCCAGTCGCAGCCTGTTCTGCTTTCAGAA